CATATGCATTTTTGGCCACCATAATAAAGGAGGAAAGAGGGAGATAAAACTGCTTACGTGATTCTGAAATCTGTTCTTGAGGAATAACAAAAAGCTATTTTTCTATCTATTTTGTTAGCACTGACTAAATTCTTCGTGATGAATGAAAATCACTTATAATTGGAAAGCATGCTAGAAACAGAAGAGGCTCAGAAAAAAACCAGGCAAATTCAAGACAAAGATTAATGTGAAAGCAGAGAGAATGGATAAATAATGCAATTCTGGAAGGATGTGGGTGTTTTAGCTCAAATGCCTTGCCCCAGCTACAGCTTATTGACTCAGAGTGGATGAAAGTGCCTGCAGTTCCTCATCCCCAAATGAGAGGATCAAAACTTTCTTTGGGCCAAGGCTTCATCCACAAAAACAAGGATGAAACAGAAACACAGGCTGGGCCAAAGCTCAGCAACTTTGCTGCTGCAGTTCTTCAGCCCCAGGGAGGTTCTGAAAGTTGAGTGCCTGTAGGACTTTTTGTGTGATACACAGAGGGTGTAACTTGTAAGGGATAATACAAAATAATCATAAACTAGGAATGTGTTCAGGAAGACACGACCTTCAGAGTTACAAAGCTAATAAAGAAATCTTTAAAAGTCACGAAGAATAAAATGAAAAGCCTTCTCAGGAAAAAAAAAACTGTTTTCTTTTAGGAGAGTTAAGTGGCTGCTGAAGAGAGAAAGAACACAATGAAATAAAAGTCTCAAATTTAATTCTCTTAAAAGCTGTTCCTCCGAGGTTTTTTTAGGTTTGGGGTTTTTTTTTTGGGAAGGGGGTGTTTTAGCAGCTTGGTGCCTGAACTATAATTCAACTCACTATCTTCAGGAAAAGCCTATTTTGTGGTTAGCAACACATTTCATTAAAGAGCGACATATTGCTTAAGTCATACTAAAGATCAGTTTGGCAGCAAGGCACAAAGAAATTCACAAAACATTTCCGATCAGACCTGCCCCCAGAACAACAATTCCATGAAACGATGTTACATTACAAACTTAAAAACAGACCCGACAAAAATAAATGAGTAGTTAAATGCCAATGTATTTAAAGACCAAACTGTTCAGCAACGTGAAACGCTGATGATCATGACTGGAACAGAAGCCCTGATAATTAACTGAAAGGCAATCTTTGTCTTTTTAAAAGGCAATTACAAAATAATGGAATACCGAGTTCAGAATTAAGCTGGCTGATGTTCAGTTAATTATTTGTGACAGCTGATGATTAAATTACGTGCAGAAGTTACGACCGGAGTGAGTCATGAGAGGCATGTTTTCCTTCAGTCTTATCATCAGAGTTCTGCGTGAACATATATAATGTGAGCTATAAAAATAAACAGTCGAGTGCAGAAGATACGAGGGTCAAGTACAATATTGACTGTTTGACCATTTTTTTTTCAATGGGTTATCTAAAATTTCAGGAGCTCTGGACTGTTCCTTCGGGCCTTTGTTTCTCTCGCTTCTTACTCAGATCTCCGAAAAGCAGAAGCGAAAATTGATTTTTAGATAGACATGCCTAAACGAGTAAAATTTGTATTTAGACAAAAGGCACGAATAGTCTCAAGTCAAAATTGTACCACTCCTACATGTATAATCATGCAAAAATGTATAATAAATGTATATACATGCAGAGTGATATTCTCATCACCTACCCATAGAAATAACTTGTGTGAAAGTCTTCATCAGTAGGAAATACAAGCATAAACTTGTTATCTGTAGCTCCACTCTTGTATCTTCCACACTTCCAAACAGCACACCTTATAACTTAGCTTAAATTCAGTATACATCAAACAGACAAAAATATTTTCAATATGATTTACATACTGCAATTATATTTGTCAGCATAATAGCCACCAATTTAACAATCTGTGGGGAAAAAAACCAAACAAGCTGCCTATTTACGAAGCAGTCACAGCAGAGATCTACTTTTTGCTTTTCTCAGCCTTGCCTTTCAGGATCAGATTTGGAAATGAAAGGCACTTGACTCTAGGTTTATCCATATCTATCACTAGTAAATTACCTACAAAGCCAAGATAATGGCCATGATGCTGCAACAAATCCTGGGATTCCCAACATTTATAAAAGAAGAAATAAGCTATAAATGCTTACATGTGTTTAAACAAAAAGCAAACAAACAAAAAAACCAAACCCAATAAAATAAGTTGCAGAAAACTACGACCAGATGAAAGTTGCAGTGAAAGCATATAAAAAAATATATCTTCTAAATCTCCTCTGTTCCCAAAAGCTTGTTTCTTTTTTGAGTGCTACGTGGATGGGACAGGAGTGGCTAAATGTGGAAATAAATAATACTTGCCTAACCAACTAGGTGATCCTCCAATGATGTGATGCAAAGTGAATGTGTGGTAGCAAAAAATAAGGACAACTGGCTTCAGCTAGGAAATAAAGTGAAAAAATGCTTTCAGGTTGAAAAAGTAAAAGGATTAACTACAACCAATGGTGTAATTCATCATCTTTTCTTTACAAAAGAGACACTCCAAATAATTACTGACTGTAACAGGATTTCAACAGATTAAAAAACAGACATCAAGACAAACCATGCCAGAACCAAAACTTAATGTAGAACAATTAGGAGGTTCCCTGGTCAGTAATTTAAACAATCTACTTAAGAAAAATTGCATCTTTTGAGAACCCGAGATAGCTGGAAGACATACATTTCCCTGGTGACAAGCATTAATTCATTTCTAAAGCAATAAATGCTTGAAAAAGGCAAGGCTGAAAGTTAATAAGCACCAACAGCAAAATACAGCTGTTGACATTTAATGCTAACAGGGGGAGGGAAAGTCTGCTCTTTTTCTTTATTTTTAAAGAATTCAGAGGGAGAGGTCATCATGGGGACAGCATTTCCAAGTGCCCAATTCTCCCTCAATTTACACAGCTCATCAAAACTAATTCCGCTCAGAACAACTGAATCGGAATTCACATGCACAAAAATCCATGTCTACACATATCAGCTTTCATTTTAAGCTTGCAACAGAGAAAATTCAATAATTTCTCATCTGCTACCTGCTCCCATGCTTTTCACAGAGCCACATGTCAGTACTCAGCAATCTAAACAACCTTGTAGGATCCACACTCCTGGTCACCCTTTACTTCATTGTAATGGCAGCACAAGCAGAAAGGGAGGAATCAACCATAAAGTTTCAGCCTTAGTGTCAACTGCACAGGAAACACAAGGTATTAGCTGGCAGAACCTGAATGAGGAATTTAGTCCTTGAAATCTATGGAGGCAGGCTGGGAGAGCTGAGGGGGTTCACCTGGAGAAGAGAAGACTCCAGGGAGACTTAAGAGCCCCTTAAAGAGGCTCCAGGAGAGCTCGAGAGGGACTTGGGACAAGGGACTGGAGGGACAGCACAAGGGGGAATGGCTTCCCACTGCCACAGGGCAGGCTTAGATGGGATAGTGGGAAGAAATTCTTCCCTGTGAGGGTGGTGAGGCCCTGGCACAGGTTACACAGAGAAGCTGTGGGTGCCCCATCCCTGGAAGTGTCCCAGTCCAGGTTGGACAGAGTTTGGAGCAACCTGGTCTAGTAGAAGGTGTCCCTGCCCATGGCAGGGGGGTTGGAACAAGATGAGCTGTAAGGTCCCTTTCAACCCAAACCATTCTGTGATTATAAGCCATTATTTCTCTTTAGCTTTCTTACTTAGTCATGCAGTGCTGAGCTCATCACCTAAACTCCCTCCCGCTGTAGCCAGAGAGAAGAAGTTCAGCCAGGTAATCCCATCCTGGGAATTGCAGCCTGGAGCATCTCCATCTCCCCTGCTTCCCCAGCAAACAGAAAGAGCTTAGGCACCGCCTTACCCAAGACACCTCACTTTTACAGTGCTCAAGTTTGGCAAGATGAACTTCTGCCTTAGGAATAGGATTTAAACTTTGCTATGTTTCCTCTACAAGTAGTGGAAAAAAGACTGAAATCTCCAGAGGACTATCCCGGTTAAAATAGTTTTGAAATTAAAAGCCTAATTTCTGTGGTCTGAATTGCCCTCTGGAGTCATCAGTGACTCTTGCAAGGGAAAGACACAGAGCCATATTTAGGTGTGAGTATCACCCCAAGCTTTAAGACACACAGAACAGGTACAGTTATAACAGCAGCAATAATTACAGCACCTTGTTCTTACAAAAAGCTTTCCATTAGTGGACCTGGAAGAGCTCCAAGGTGGTTATTAACCTCCGTCCACCCACAGGGGAAACTGAGGCAGGCAGAGATCTGCATCCTGCTCAAGGCTAACAGGCAGAGGAGATGGGCTTTGCTGAAAACAACACTCCCCTCCAATTACTGAGCTACTTTTAAGTGGTGGATTTTTTGGGAGAGTATAAAAATAGTGCTTAGGAATGCTTTTGCTAAAGGTACAACTGCTAAAAAGGCTACACAAGAGGTAATTGCAAGCCTCACCTCAACAACTTTGCTGTGAATGTGGGCACTGATGGTCTCAGTCTCAGTACTCTCAATTGCGTTTATTTCTACATAACAAATGAGAACACTGAGACATTTTAAGATAATAAAATACCTAAGAATGCCCTCATTTACAACTGGTGCTTAAATTTAAGAGATAACCCCATTTGGTGCAAGATTACACAAAACACAGAGTGGACTTTAATACCCTTATAAATTTTAAGATCAGCTGATCATCACTGTAATAGAAGTAATTATATTTTGTGTGCCAAAACCTAAAAGATTTATCTTAAGTGACTTGTCAGAATAGCTTTACAGTAGTAGACACATCAGTAACTGATCCAAACAGAAAGTATTGATACACAAGACTATAAGTGACAGGTTTTTTTGTTTTAGATAAGCAATAGAAACCTGGTATTAATTAAAACATGACCCAGAGCTGCCATTTCAAAAGTATGCGAAGTTCAAATGGCACAAACTAGCTCAACCCTACAACAATTCACAGAGGGGGATGGGGGCAGATCATGTCTGCTTTTTTATGTTGTTTAACAACATGAACCACTTCATTGCTATTTACATTTATTTATTTATTTATTTATTCCAGGTTACAGTAGTTACATTTCTAAATTTACAAGGTTAAGCAAACAATACATTATAAATACAATAAAATCAATAGTAGTGTAACAACATTCTCTCTAAAATTATAAAGTGAACTTTATCAGTGAATCCACTTTCCTCACATTTTCCTTCATTTCACACAGTAAAGCTTTTTTGTTTAGTTTTTTTTTAACCATGATAATAAAATAAAATCAAAACAACATGATCAAATTATTATCTGTTCTCAGACTGTGCAATTTTTAATGTATCACGTGAAAAGAGATCTCAAAAATTCAAGTCTTGCTGAACAACATTCATTCTTTCAGGCTTTTTGATGACTAGATGGAAAATATCTCGGATTCTTTTTACCAAATTATAAATAAAGATAATAAAGAATTTTTCACTGTGCGTTAAGCAAAGGCACATGGAATATGGCTGTGGATTCAAAACACTGGGAAGTGGCATCCACTTTATATCCCCGTATAGGATTTGTTTCCTGTGATGCTGCCTAACAACGCATTAATTATGGCAACAGATATATTAGCCAGAGCTCTTCCCCCGTTTCACTTGCAAAAGCGTCTCAGGAGGGTTTTGGAAACCATCCCACCCTTGCACAGCCATGACAGGCAAAAAAAAAACCAGAACAACAAAAAACTCCCCGTGTAAACACAGCTTACATTAGGAAAAGGCAGCAAACACACATCCCCTCCAGAAAAACATCACATTTTTGCAAGGACAAACTGCATCTTCCCTCGGAAGGACTGACACAGCTTTTTGGTGGTCCAGAATAATCCCCTGCTCCATCAGCCTGCGCTTGAAACCCCTCCTAACTTAATAAGCCTGTTTTCCATGTGCCTTCGTTTTGCTGATCCAACACCATGAGACCAGTAAAATCTCTGAGAAAGAACCGGTTTCCAGCTCCGTGTTTTTGCAAGGTAACTGTCCATCTCTGTCAATCAGCCCAAATGTTTTGGCTTCTACAGCACACATCACGCAGCACCCACGTGTAACTGCAGCAGCCACACTGCAGACCCTGATTAGTTTAAAAACATCTGCTCAACTGGCCTGAATTACAAACCCTCATCAGGCACAGACTCCCCTTAAGGTCAGCTGAAGGATTCTCTGGCCAAAAACTGCAGAGCAAATTCAATTTTTAATGAGATGAAATTAAAACCATTAAAACCAGCAGAAAACTTCTACTAGTATCAATGGGGTTAGGATTTAATTTCTTAATGCCCTTGAAATATTACTTTAAAAAGAGTTTTAAAGTATGTGGATACAGGAAGAGATAAAATATATTAACAAGAGAAACCAGTGATAATAAATATGTTTCAATTTGTAACATAACTGCCAAATGTAATCCTGTTTTATTGAAGTTAAGATTAGTTTTCCAGTCTCAACTCTAGCAGCTCAGATAAAAACACCTAACAATTCTGCACAAACACTAAAAGACACTGAACTTAAAAAAATACAGATGTGTGTTTCTGCCTGAATTATTTTGTCCTAATACTGTTAAAAATAACACTGAGGATTTTACATTGTCTTTTTGTTTCTCCCTGCTCAGTTATTTTTGCAATAGAAAAACTGAAAACAGTTTCACCGCCTTAACTTGAATTTGGTTTATGTTGTATGTTAATTTTTTTCTAAATAAAACCTGACCATTCAGATGTTTTATCTGAAGCAAAACCCAAAATCCTCGGAGAAATCAGCGTGTGAAGGGTGGAAGTTCCTAAAGACCTTCCATACCAAACCCTACTGGAGGGCAGGGAAGCAGCACGAACTACCTGTGGAAGAACTTGCAGCCAAGGCTGCAAAACCACTGCACACTGAAGCCCCTGGACATCTAAGGCCTCCTAAAAAGGGACCAATTCTAGGAAGAAACCCTTTAAATTTTTATTTACTGCAGTGTCAGTTTGACACTTAGTAGAATTTCAACTGAGCATTTATATAAAGACTTACTTCCTTTACCTGCTGCTAAATTCCAGCTCTGGGGTCATACAGGTATTCCACTGGTCCCTTGCTGAAACAGCCCCCACACTGAAAACATGTAATTCAATGTTTACAATGACAATATAGGAGCTTGGACCAAAGAAGCTGTGGCTGCCCCATCCCTGGAAGTGTCCAAGCCCAGGATGGATAGGGCTTGGAGCAACCTGGGAGAGTGGAAGGTGTTCCTGCCCATGGCAAGGGGGTTGGACTGGATGAGCTTTAAGCTCTTTTCCAACCCAAACCATTCTGGGATTCTGTGAACAGGCCAGGTAGGTTTCAACTGGCACCATCATCCCTGGAATTACACCAGTCCACACCATCCACACCAGCTGACCTGACTCGATGCATGTGACTTTTTCAAACCATAAGTAAAATTCCTTAAAGGAACTAGAATGTTTCTTTACACCATTCTGAAGTATAAAACCCAGGGCAATTAGGGAAACTAAATTATCATCGGTGGTTCTCCACGTCTGTGCAAAACTCCTACTGATTTTTCCTCTACTTGTCAAAAGTGGTGGTTTTGAAGTGATTTGATGAGACGTGAGCATAAACATACATTCAAAATGCAACTCTGGTAAAGTAGAAGAGTTTCCTTCTGATAATCCTAAAATAGTCTTAAATAAGTCAGACAGCTCTCATGGAACACGGAATGGGTAAGATTAAAATCTTTGTCAAAATTTCAGCTGAAGAAATTTTAACTCCCTGAAAGTTTCTAATCAAAGCTCTTTGGAAATAAGAGCTTGTAATGGAAATCACAACAAATTTAACAGCAGCCGTGTAATATAGTAGAAATATTCCCAGGAGGGAAAAAAACCATAAAAATCTGAAACTCTGTATTGGGAATCTGTTTTCTCAAAGAGATGCCAAAGGCTGCCACACACACTTAAAACAGAGACTCATCACTAGTATCTGAATCTGAAGGTTGGTTTCTGAATCTCTCAGATTCAGAACACAAAGGTAGAAGAGAGGTGCTCCTGTTAAATGGCACAGGCTGCCAAGTCCTTCATCAGGTAGGTTATACTACACCTGAACAGCAGAAAGGAGGGGTTTCCCTCTCAGTTTCAGGCCAAACATAATTCCTCACGTGGAAACCCAGCTCGTGGAGCAGATATCCAGCTGTGTGGATCAACAAACACTCTTCATTTCAAAGGAGATGATTTATGACAAAGCTGAAGATTCAGCTCCAGTTTTGAGCCAAGTGTAAAGAGTGACCAAAGAATATTTACCATTTACAACCACAGGTGTTTTTAACACTAGGTAGCTTTTGTGGGGAAACTAAGTTAAAATTATACCTCATATAAATTATTCTCTCAGTCTTCTGGGTGCCTTGAGATAATTCTATCCTAGAAAGAGTACAGCTTCAAGGTCTGTATGCTCAACTACTGTCATCCTCTGCTTGTTTTCTCATGTTCACAGCTGCTTGCATTGAAAATAACAACTAACAGTGATGGATAAAAATAAAAGGTTTTAATTTGTTGCCTGCAGTAAACAAATCCATATTTTTATCTATTAATACACTGAATTATTTCAGTATTTTTCTTTTTCTTTCCTTTTTTTAAATTTTTTTTATTTTATTTTTTAAAGACTACCTGACCAACATATTAAAGATTGGCAGAATTTCACTGGCTACATCCCTAATGAAGTTCTTATCCATTTATGAGATCCACATGTAAGGTGTTTCAGTCTGAGAGATAAATAAGTTCAGCTGAACTCCTTACACAATTTGTTCTGAAATACCTAATTGCTCTCTATATATTATTTTACAAAAAAAGGTTAAGGGCATGCTTACAGACATACACATTAAAAGAAACCAGTCACTGCAAAAAGCTGCTTCTGCATGCAGGGGAAGATTTATAAAGTTGTCATGCTTTAAAATATGCTGCTCTTACTGTCATCATAAAGGTATTTAAATATATATATATATATATATAGGTATCAAATCTATGAACACCAGAAGGATCCATTTTGGTGATTTTTTTATATCAGCAAATACTCTTCCCTGAAGGATCTTGTATTTTAAACAGATGAGGACAAGTTGATCAAATTGCAATCGAACACAGAACAACTCGTTTAACTTTTACCTGAAATGCACACAATTTCAGACAAGAGAGTTTTCTAACAAGTTCATATCAAAATCTTTGTATAAAAATTATGCATGAAGGTGATCTGAAAAGAACTTTATCCCAGTACTTAAAAATTATCTCCTGCATAGTCTTTCAAACAGTTACTCTGAAAATAACACAGTTCTCTAACCTAATTTTTTTTTTTTTAATGAAGGCATCACATACCTTAAAAAGAAAAAAGTCTATGGCAACAATAATGTTAAAAGATCAGTGTGAATATCATGCTGATAACAAAAAGCATTTCTTGAGTTCCTGTTACAGGTTTGATCCAAACTGGCACATAAATTGATGGAAAAACTCCCACTGACTTCAGGGAGGGGGAAAGAAAAAAAGCCAGAACCACTAACTGTGGTTACTTCCAACAGGAAGAAAACAAATTACACTAAAATAACTAGTAAAAAAGTGACTGTGGTTTAAAAAGCAAAGTAACACAGCTAAAGGAGACCTACAGTGTTCTCTTTACTTAAACTATGTCTGTGCACACCTCCAATTTCCACTGTAAGAATTTTGATTTGCATTTGCATTCAAAACTTTTATCAAGTTCTACCTGATGATAAATATACATTTTTTGGTAGCTACAGAGAAGTTACTTCCCATGAAGAAAGGCCTTAACGCAGAGGTGACCAAAAAAATCCCTGTAACAATAGTAAGTAAGAATTAAGTAGAGACTTCTAATACACACTTTAAATTAATCCTACTTTAAACATCACAGTTTCAAGCCTGCCTATTCAGGATAACTATTAGTATTAAAAAAAAAAAAAATTAAAAATCCACACAACAGCAAATTCTTGTATTATTTAAATGAAACTAATGCTCTGGCATTCCCCATCACAAGTAAATAATGATTTCAGTGGCATTCAAACATGGTTCAGTCTGACCCAGACCAGCAGCCCTTCAGACCACCATGGTGTTTACTTATCTGGCTGTCAAGCCTCCCTTCAAATTCCTGTGCCAAGAACCAATCCATCCCCTGACTGGTGCTTATCTTGGGGCAGACAGGACTATTTTTATTCCAGCATGAAGGATGTGGCTTGTCCATATATACAGGAGGGAAGCAGCAGTGCTTTGTGTGCACAGGTTGGGTGTGACTCATCCCACCTCAATTCAGCCAAAAGTTATCTCCTATAAACTGCTGATAAGGGAGGTTTGGACAACTAATGGAAGAGAAAGACACTGCTGGGAGACATCCTCAGCAGGGGCTTATCTCTTCCCACTGACTCAGAAGGAGACCCAGGGAACGGCAAACTGGACACCTGGAATTAGTGGAGATGACTTCCACCCAAACCAAACACACACACATATATATAAATATATATATATATATATACATGTGCCTATTTGTGCACACAGTTTAAGACAGCTGCATCCATAAGCATGCCATGTGCAACACTGCAGTGACATTGATTAAAAAAAAAAAATCTGGACAGAAAATGAACTACTAAATGGGAGACAAAAAAAAAAGTAAAAATCCATTGTGCACAGTTATATATATATATCTCTTTCTAAATATTTAAGGTAAGCTTATTTACTGCTTCTCCCTAAAAAGGAAGAAGAAAAAGCTAATGTGTGATGTGTTCAAGCTGCAAAACTTGTGAGTAAGTGGAGTTAAGGAAATGTCATGGGTCTGTATCTAGTCTGGGTCTCTAAGGTACTTTACCTCCTTAAATATAAAACTTATTTCCTTATATAAATGTTTTAACATGCAAAAAAGGGCATCTGGATGAATACCCTGAATGCTCCTATTGTAGCAAACATAGCTCTACTGCTTTTGGGGTATCTAAACAAGGATTCTAAGTTATATTTTCCCAAGTTTGGTGATGAAAGCTTAGGGTGGTTCCCCTCCCCAACACCTTTAAAGGTGTTTATATGTGTGTGCTGGCACATGCATGTGGGTATGCTGTGATTTTTTTTTTTTTTAAACTACATATATTCTCTATAAATTAGAAATAACCAAACGATACCATGGCAGTAAAACCCAGAAGAGAAAACAAAACAAACAAATACAAAGAGAAAAGCAAACCTCATTTTTCAGCATAATCCAAAAATAACATCAAGATTGCAAAGATTTGATTTTCTTTTCCCCTCCTCCCCCCCCCTTAAGTTTATGATTGATTCAGATCAGGCTCTGCAATATTCCCATTCTCTGGAAAGATAGGTGGAAAATTGTTATTAAAAGTCGCTGGAAACTCGAGAGTAGCATCGACATTCTGATAGCCCACGTAAGAATTAAACGACTGCTGAGGAAGTACGTGGCTATCAGGCATCTGTATGAAAGCCCCTGACTGCGTGGTAGGGGGGATTCTTTGGCCAACTAGTTGAATTTTGGGTTCCCTGGGCTCCAGTTGCTGCTTGCTCTCTTCGTCCGTGTCAAGACGGGTTAGCTTTTCTATCCACATGCGGAATTTCTCCTCTGTCTGCCTCTGCATCTCGGCAAAGCAGTTCATGGCCTCTTCCAGGACATTGCCTATGCAGTTCCTATCCCACACGGTGCCCCTGTCAAGCAATCCTGGAATTTCCCTGGTCGCTCCTCCAGATCCCCCAGCACGACTGAAGCCAGCTTTAAAGACATTGAGGCCATTTGATAAGTCATCGTTAAGTAAGAACAAAATATTGCTTATTAAGGCATGTTAACTCAGGAAAACAACTTTTCTAATTCTGTCCCTGGGATATGACAACACGAGAGGAATTGACAAATATTAAGCAACAGTTATACTGTCAAAGAAAGGTAACATTTTATACTCACTGAGGTTATAATAGAAATTTTGGCTTCAAAATTATTTTTATTCTAGAAGTCTCAGGCAATTCTGTCAAAAAAGTCTGGTTTTTTTTCAAGAAATGAACCAAATTACTCCAACTCCCTTGCAATCTCTGTTTTGAATTCAAGTGAGGGTGCAAAAAACCATTATACATGTTCAGTCCTGTCAAGCTGTGATCCAAAGTGCTACTATTCAACTGTTAAACCTTGAATAATTATGTGCATTTTAGTTACACACTTGAATCCTTTTATAACGGGCTGTTAAACACAGACAAAACTGTACACGAGATAACAGGGATAAAGGCTGATATAGTGGCTGCAGCACCTGAAGCAGCCAAGCCCAAAGCTCTTGGTCCAGTTTTGGAAAACACAGCGAATGCGGATGAGGAGAACACACAACACAAATAATTTGTGAGAGCTGTGCTAACACGGGAGGTGAGAGCAGCCTCTGCCCGGTGTGATGGACACAGCTCCATCACAAGGACAATCCACACAACAGCAGTGACCAGCCTCACTCCAACCGGGACCACGCCCTCCACTGGCATTCCTAGAAAACAGGGAATGTTCGGGATGGAACTGTTCTCCGTGCTACTATCCATCAAAAAGATGTGGGAAATTACTAGCTTTGGGATTATGAGAAAGAAGTTTAGCAGCAAAAGGGCCATCCTCATTACCTCACTCCTCATATCAGTAACAAAAGGCATCTTTTTGGTATCTGTATTTCTAAGCTTAAGAGTCCACTCAGGAATTATCTAGGAAGCAATAAACCTTCAAGAAAACAAAGCTCTGTACCTGTTTGAGGAATCATAAACAATATGTGCATGCCATCCAAACACACAAAGGTTACCTCGGGTAATTCCAAAACAAGACAAGCATCACATTAAGCTACACAAAGCAGCTACAAAACCCGACAATTTAATATGTAAATGTGAAACTTGCGGCATCCCCTAGCTTAAGAGTAATAGAAAATACCCTAAGAATGAGACAAATTATTGCACAGCCTAAGCAAATATTTACTAATAAAAACATAAGGCACTAAATCTTTATTGGGATTTCACTGTGTACATGAAATTACAGTATTACTTAAACACCACATTCTTTTCAGGAGCTATTTAAATGAGGTATACACAGGCCCTTCCGTAACAGCTAAAGAAAGACCAGGATTATTTCCTTATTTACGAGCAGTTACAAAACCCCCTAATTTTTAAGTCTATTTCCCCATCTGTTTACCTATCAGACAGGCTGGAAATTCAGCATTCAGGTCCTCTGCTCAAAAATAATTACTTTATAGCAAGTAATTTACATCCCTCCTACTGCATTTTAACTACAAATAATTATGTAATATGCTAACTTATTCCTAAAAGATGGGTTGGTTACTTCTGTGTATTCAATATCTTTTTCATCCCTAAAAAAAATATTTCTCCTGTTCCAATTACTCCTAGCATCGAACATCCAATATAATGCAGTTTATTTGTCACTAGTCAGGGATCTTATCCTAAAATCAAGGAACTAAATGACAGTCTGATTTCCATAGGCTTATTAATAGGTAATGTTACGTTTTAATTTATTAATTTATATTTAATTTATTACTATTTAAGTAAAAACTATTGATGGTGATACATGAGACGATCTACCTAAGTTTTTAAAGTTAAGAATGAACTAGAACGATAAAGTTGACAAAATTGTTTTGTAAACTGAAGAAACTATGTATTAAAATATATATAACCCTGCAATACTATTTTTAAAAGGCATCAGTCATAATGCATCTGCAATTTACAGCAGCACCAATGTTTTGAATGTTTCCCTTGCAGTTATTACAACAAGCCTTATTCAATCTTTTCTTTATTTCGGGGTTAAGAAAAAAATTAAGCCAAAAAAGTAATTTTATATATTAAAAATGCTAGCATTTATTTAACTAGTCCCTCCTCTGTCTAGAAACTTAAACCTCTGTAATGGTTTTTTTAAGTTATGCCAAGTTTACAGGTGAAGAAATTTGCAGTCACAAAGGGGTCAGAATCCAAGATTCATATCCTATTTTCAAGAAACCAGCTCCTGCAAAACAGCACCTAAGAAATGCCCCAACACTGTCTCTTTATGAGATCTATTAAGTACTAACCAAATACAAAGTTATTTAATTTAGGAAGTCTGACAATGTAAAAATTTAAGATATGCTTCCCCTTCATTCCAATTAGGAATGGTTGATTACTCTGTGTCATTTATGCCACAGATTTCCAAATAAACATCTTACTGCAAACCACTTTCGACAGACTATGTTTTTTCCTATCTGTTAAATATAATTGTCATTCTGAGTAGCTTGCACCAAATTTCATCCCTTGCGAGATGCTTCTTCGAGGGTCTGTGCACAATTCTTGGGAGGAAGGAAAATGGACACACTGTGCCCCCCCCCTTTGGGTTTCTGCGTATCAAAAAACTCTTCTCTTTTTTTTTTTTTTTTAACAAAGTGAGCTGAGACTTTTCCAACGTCAACACTCAAACTTTTTAATAGATTTTTCTGAAAGCCTGAAACATGAGTCATTCCCACTTCAATTCAGATTTTTCCGAGTTGCAGAAAGCACAATGGTAGTGAAATGCCAATATTTTCGTATTTTTAAAAGCCTCTTCCTTTTTCCAAGAAAGAAGTGTTTACAGAGAAATAAGTATTTATTCCCAGACTTTCTCTCATGCCAATTGTATTCAGAGTCAATTTGCAGCATCAAAAGCGAGACTGTTTAAAGGAGTAACTTCCAGCAGCAGCAAGTCCAACAGAACCTATTCTGTGACTTTTATACTTTGTTTATATGGTGTTTAAGAATGGTAAAATCCTAAATGCCAACAGAGAGGCTCAGTCACTAAAGGATAAAAAATTGCTTCTCATCTGCAATAACCCAAAGATCATGGCATTCCCTGAAATAGAGCCCAAGTTTACAACTGCTCAGGTCAGTGAAACAATTCTCATGAGCACACATGAAGTTTAGACTGAACCCGTGTTTTCAGGTGTAAAATAACACCACAGGATGCACTCAGAATAACACAACTTACATTGTGCTTATCTCCTGTGCAGCTCACGATACTTGTATTGAAGTACCACCAGCAATATCTCAACTCTTTAATCTTTCCTGAGGAGAAAACCAAGCCTGCCACTATTTTAATCCGCAGTACACTTGAGTTCAGCAGAGAGAACTGACTCTCTGTAGCACAACTGCTCTCCTAGCAACTTCATGGCATTATTTTCACTGAACATTTTCCTTACCTTACAAATTTAGCCAAACCCATTTCAGAGCCAGCGGATAGTTCAAAAAAAAGATAACTGCACTACTTAAATGGAGGAGGTTTAGTGACACACCATGAAGGAGTACTGTATTCTCAAACATGGCAGTTTAATTTTCAGACCACACACAAGCAAACTGGCTGCTGTACCCACTCCCTGTGTCGATAATTTAAGAGCCAGAGTACATGTAACCTTTGTCATGAAGGCCACATTAATTGTCACTAAAAATTTTAGAGCATCTCTGTTGGCAAAGCTATTTTTCGGACAACAGATGGTTGAAAATGAGCCCCGACTGTAAGAGGTGTTGAGTCAGTAACCAACACTGCAGCTGAACTGTCCAAATACAGGCAGACTAAGGGAAACATAGGCTACCTGGAAAACTCTTCTGCTTCAATGTGTACAGACTTCTTATAAAAGGAAAGGCAAATGTTTCTTCACGTCCTGACACTGGAGTTAAATCTCTCAGCTTTTGACTGTGTGCAGAGGACGCTCACGGCCTGAATTTCCAGTCATGCTTTTTAATACCCTGTGTTATCTTCTACCTACATGTTTGTTCCCTAAATTTTGAGGATATTCACAGTGTTAAGTGCACTAAAATGGCTTTCTAGTCACAAGGAGGACTGCAGTGCTTTGCCAGCTCCAGGAGGGAGGATCACAGATGGCACATGAACCCACCACTGGGACGGAGCTCTGGGAGTTCGACTCCAACTCGCGGTTCCACTGCATCTGTCATGACCACAACATTTCCTCAAACCACAAGCAGCACAGAATGCATTTTTTTGGCCAGACTTTGTCCTTATCTCTACAGAGAATATTTTTCTCTTGCACTTGTGAACTGTTCCCCACAAACCAGAGCTGTTCCTATTTAAAGGAGAACCGCAACGTGGCAGGTTCATGTCGCACCAGATGGCACCAAAAGGGCAGCTCAAGGGTTTCAGTGTCTTAAATGGAACTTAGCATCAAGCAGATGACACATGCTATGGAGTAAGAACAAATGTTAGTGTTCCTCAGGATGGTTTGTGCACTGCAACACCTCGTAGTGCAGGTTAAACTGGGCTTTGCTGTCATCACCACTAAATTAAGCTCGTCCTTGCAATGCGATCGTTTCATCACAAGCATCTCATGGTTAAGACCAAGAGCCCAGTGAGACACTCAAAGTGCCCTGGAATGGTTTCAGGTCTCTGCAAAGGCAGTCAGAAACCCAAGCGAACCTGAAAATACCATGTGGTGCCCTCTGGTTCACAAGGTACTTTTATGACTTAAAAAAAAGCATATGACCAGAGGGATTTATTCTGTGAGTTTTGGGGTTTTTTGAGAGGTGGGGAGGAACCAGTCCCAAAACTCAATGAAACAGTCTTCTTCAACAGGCTTTAAATCGGGCTTTAATTCCCCAAAGTGTAAATATAATGAATAAAAAGGTAGAAGCTAGAAAGTCTAACTACTAAATTGGTAAAAATAATTTTAGATCTCTATTAAAAGTTTACTACACAGCAATTATAGGAGGAGATTATGCCTTTCCCAGACTTTCTAAAAATAAACATTTACTTCCTTCGTGCAACCTGCTTCCTAGCAGGTGTGGGAAAAACGCCAGTTTTCATGGGGACAGCATCATCCACCATAATCAACTCAGTTAAAACAGTAATTTGTAAAATCTGCTGCAAATATTTTAAATAATCAATCTAGCAAACTTTAGTTCAGCAACTTAATATTGCAGTTTTCCTTTAAACGTTCTTGCCCTTTGTAAGATTTTTCTCAAAAAAACCCCATAAAAACACCTTCTAGCATAAGAGGCAAAAAGGCATGTAACCCAGTAAAAATTGGCAAGCCAAAAGATTTATTTTTATTTCTGATTTTATTTCTGATTGCCATATGAAGATTGCCATAGGATGATGGTTCTGTGTTATAATATGCTGCAAGAATAATTCACACAAAATCCTGTCCACGGCACTTGAGGTAATAAAATAACAAAGACTCAGCAAATAAAAACCTTGAAGAATTCAGCTTTCTTTTGCTAACAAAATTACAAGAAGGCCCCTATAATTTGCTAGCTCCCATCTTAACACAGATGTGTCAGAAAGTGAAAAGTGTAGAAATTACTGAACCTTAGGACATAGGAAAACAGTGGCAGCTCTGTCTAGGATATTGAAAATTCAGGTGGGACTGTAGCTTGGGCACCTGTGTAATCATGTTTATATCCTAAAATAGGTGACCAGCTGCAATCTGCAAGAACTTAGAATAAGGCTATGAGGCTTGTCATGCACTGACATGTCGAGCTGAAAGCACAGAACAAGTGCAATAATGGCCAGGGCCTTGCTGTAACACAGGCAAGAGGTCTGCTGTGCCATTTCTAACATAACTGCCAAGCTGTGGTCTTTTTTTACTAAAGCAAAGCTGGCCACTTATCTTAAGAATTCGATTATCACCATCTAATGGGATTTGACAGCACTGACAGGAGTTCATATAGGCTTACAAAGGAAAAGATCTGAAAACTCCAGAATTCAAAGGTAGTCCTTCCTCCCATTTACCATTGCTATGCTTTGTTGGTGTGCAAAAGTGCACCGAAACCTCAGAACAGATTTTAATATTTGCCCATGTCTCGTTAACACACTGCAGTCTTCAAATTTACACAGAGCTGCAGTTCTCCTGTTTTGTTTTGTTTTTTTTTTTGTCTCAAGCGTCACTCATCTAACTTAGCATGACAGCTGAGAAACGATGTCAGATGCCTTTACAGTTCAGTTTAAAAAACATCCTCTACCTGGTATCTCTGCGGTGATTGTCTTGCTGCTCCCTGAAACCTCTTCGTCGTCATCGGATGAGCTGGTGCTGGAGTCACAGGTCAGGTCGCTGTCGCTGGTGCTGCTGTCCTGCAGCAGGTTGTACTTCTTGCGAGCAGCTGCCTCCCGCTTCTGCCTCAGGAGCCGGATCCTCTCTTTGTGCTTTTGGCTTCGGTGACCCTTTGCCTTGGTAACTCGACCGTTCTGCTTATCACTGGACTGTCGGTTTTTCTTGGCAGCCATGGTTGAAGTTTCGCTCTCGGACCTGGATCTCCTGGATTTCCTCCCAGCTGCGGCCCCAGACACTGCAGAAGGGTCTCCCTCTGCGACAGCTTCAGCTTGACAGGGCTCATTCTCTTCTGTGGAAGACAATGTGTCTGAGTCAGCCAAATGCCCACTGGAAGAAGGGGAAAGCATGCACTGATTAGAAGAGTCACTCTCATAAACTCGACTGCCCGTTGGCTTGTCGCTCTCCGTGGATGCCAGCTGGGACTCTGAGGAGTCTCGCCTCAGTTCCATCAGCAAGCAAGGCATGGAAGAGAGCACTGCAGAGTCTGCTGGAGTGGGCATGCTGTCCTTCTCAGTTTGTGTCTCGAGCTCTATAGGTCCGTCTTCATCAGGAGCAGTCTCTTGCTTTTCAGAAGCCTTTGGTGGAACTTCTGAATCAGCAAGTTCTTCAGCTTTTCCCACTGCCTCCATCTTCATTGCAGAGCAGAAAGGTCCTTCTGGTGTTAAAGCATTGAGCACGGGGTCTGGAAGAGTGGGTGAACTATATGTGGTGTTCAGCAATACAGCACCCTGCACAAGAACAGAACAGTAAGAATAATTTAAACAAATAGCTCACTCATCCCTGCTCTTCATAGTATTACCTGAACAACCCATTGCTTCCATTTATAGACAGTATGGTTCACAGAATCCCAGAATGGTTTGGGTTGGAAGGGACCTTAAAGCTCATCCAGTTCCACCCCCCCCACACACGAGCAGAGACACCTTCCACTATCCCAGGTTGCTCCAAACCCCATCCAACCTGGCCTTGGACACTTCCAGGGATGGGGCAGCCACAGCTTCTCTGGGCAACCTGTGCCAGGGCCTCCTCACCCTCACAGCCAACAATTCCTTCCCAATATCCCATCTAACCCTGCCCTCTGTCAGCTTAAAGCCATTACCCCTTGTCCTGTCCCTCCAGTCCCTTGTCCAAAGTCCCTCTCCAGCTCTCTTGGAGCCCCTTTAGGCACTGGAAGGGACACTGAGGTCTCCCTGGAGTCTTCTCTTCTTTAGGCTGAACACTCCCAGCTCTCCCAGCCTGGCTCCAGAGCAGAGTATTGTATTGTTCAGTATTGTGTTGGTTTTCTCAGTTTACTTTTTCCTAGTGAACTCATCCTGTTACACTGAACTATTCCTTTGTTTTTACACATCCATGAAAGATGGTACTGGAGACACATTAAACATGGTGCACTTCACTGGAATAATCAAAACAGATCAGAAAATAATAAAAATATTTCTGAACTCCTAGCTTATAAAATTTAATCAATATGTTATAATCAACATATGTCAAACTTCTTTACCTAGACCTTTAAATATATTTTAACAGACAATTTTAGTCCTTCTAACAACACCAGCTTGAAAATTTCCAGACTTGGCAGTCATCCACCCGGACAGACCAGAATATAGTTCAGTTTCCATATCTATGGGAAGTCTACTTTCAGCTGAACAGGACCTCAGCCTCATAAAACTACAAAGTTTTTCTGGTGATTTCCAAACTGTACCAACATGACAGAGGAGAAATTTCACCACTGTGCACAGAAACTGAAGAAGCTGATGAACATCACAGAGCAAGACTGCAGACACCCTCCTTTTCCAGTGGAACTGCTCTGCCAGTTGACCTTAGGTACAAAAGACTTAAAGAACCGGCAGGAAGTGCTACTAAATTGTCAGAGACAGGGCTATAGGCACTGTCTTTGGAGGCATTAGCTACATGTAACACAGATTTGCTCTCAGGCAAGAACCACCACACTGGTGAGTCCTGTAAAGATGTTTTAGGAGTATCTAACACACCATTTGAGAGCTCCTTGAGCGTCTCCCAAACAAGTCCTGGTTATATGAGTACCTGAAGGCTGACCTAGTTCCTCTCAGATCTGCCAGGAAAGCAGCATCAAGTAGTAGGGGCTGCAAGCATGAAACATTATCCACCCACACCACTATCCTGTATTTTACTTCAGGTTATAATTTAACAAATGGCATTGCTTCAGCATAAATACAAACCCTAAGCTGTTTATCTGATTGATAAATTGCATGTTATCTACCAAAAAATACCTAAAGCTACCTCAAGGAAATTTTGTTTGAGAGATCAATAGTTATCATTCTATCTTCATTATTCACACTTTGCCTTTCACCTAGATTTTCACTTGGAATTCAACACAGAATAAAGATCTTTCAACTACCACATTCGCTTGCAGATCAGTGGTATGGAACAAATTCTTTGTAGGTTCAAAGTCATAGTAAACAGTAAATTTATGGCATTTCAGAAAACAAAGTGTGAACGAGAAAAAGCAGCAGTAAGATTTAATCTAAAAAAAAAAATGCACTTCTGCAGAGAAGGGCAGTCAGTAATTGAGCATCCTGAGGAAACCTGGATGGTTCAGACAGAATTTTTCTGCACCCTGACAGTCCTTCTTCAGTTTCCTGATCCATCCCAAGATGCCTGTTATTGTATGTACGTAATTGTACATATGTAATTATATGTATGTAATCTCCAGCACAGTGCTGTGCCAAGCTCAGCTTTGTCCTGTCTGCCCAAACCCACTTTGAAACTCCATTTTTAAAGAATACTAAAACAGTTCATGCTTCCTTCAGGCTAACGAATGAAATGCTGTATGGTGCAAGAGAACCATGAAAATACTTAAAGGACAGGAACACCAGTTAAGGAAAGAAAGGTTGGCTTAAATTGGACAACATAAAGAAGATGAAGATGACAAGACTAGGGCTGTTAAATATGAGGGGGAAAAAAGCCACAAACCCAAAACTCCAAAGGGTAAACCCAGCGTTTTCCTTCCAAAAATAATATGCATACTGCACACCACAGTATGCATAAAATGCGTACTGCAAAATACAGGAACATATATATAAAGAAAAATATTTGTGAATACTTGCACTGAGTAAAACTCTCTTGAAAACAACTTGAAAGAAGAATTTCTGGAGATAGTAACTTAATGTAAACAGTAAATATCGTGTAGGAACAACTGATTTCCAAGGCCACAGAAAAGCATCAACAAACCCATATAATGAATACACACGTTATCTTCTGCAGGGTGGGATTTGTATTGTACCTGGTAGTGCAAATCCCAGCTTTGCTCTGGTCATGCAGTTGGAAATGAAAAACACCTTCTCTAAGAGTTTTGAAATGTACAGACGGGGAGAAGAAAAGTCTGGTCAGACAGAAACCAGAAGCGCATTAGCCTGGCCAAATGAAAATATATTTAAATAACCATACTAATAACTGCAGAGAAGCTTCTGCCCTATTCAGCCTTTTAGCCTGGGGAGCACAATGAAGAGAGCTTGACACGAAGGTAAAGGGCAGCCAAAGTGAACTACAGGCTTTTTTATACCAGCGTCCTGCTTGGGAACATCATTTACCTCGCAGCTCCCAAAGTGGGAGTACGACACCTGTACTTGCCTTTCCATGTCTCTGGCCTGATAGCCAGAAAAAAATAAAAAAACAAACATTTCATCAACACGTTGCCACCTTGTTAACAGTCTAATTATAATCATTTTATAGGATTTTTTTTTATTATTAAGTGGGATCTTACTTTAACTACTCCAACCACACTGGTTTAATCCCTCACACAGCGATCAGTGAATTATATTTTCAGTGAGCTGGCAGCACAGGGCAACAACACTGACATGTGTTTCTTTGTGCATGGAAAAAATACCTGCACTGGTGAGGTTTGTACTCTCTGGGTCCCTTCAACTGGTTATTTAGACATCACCAATTCCAGTATTAGTATGTATATAAACCAGAACTTTGTCTTTCTCTCACTGGAAAAAAAAAAATCTAGCATGACTCAAACAGACTTTGCTGCAGGGAGGAATACAGGCAGTTCAGAGGAAAATATCTATGCCAAGGAAAGCCTTGTCTCAAAGAGTGAAAAAAATGTACTTGTTTAGTTCTACTTGAGAAATGTATAGATCAGCAAGAAGAGACCATATTAAAAAACTCCCATTCCTTTCTTGCCACTCACTTTTCCTGCAACAGTACTAGAAAAGGTAATCTCAAGGTGGTGCTAGAGAGAGACCATTTTTTTTACTGCAATGAGAACAAAGCACTGAAGAATAAGTTGTGACGCTTACAGACACAGATGGATACTTAATTACACACTGATTGGACAGATACCAGACCAATTATTTTGAAAGGCAATTCTGTAAAAACTTCTGTGCTAGATTTCTCCACCAGAAAATACATTATTTTCCAGTCACACACAGAACACACTGGTATGCAGAAATTATTAAACCACTACCTGGAAAACATCTTGAAATTGTGGACTCATTTCTAAAAGCACATCATTTGTACACAAGGAAATCTGAAGTTCAGTTAAGAAATCCAGAAGGATTTTGAAGGTCAGGTTAGCAAAGGCAGCCCAGCCTCTCCAACACTTGGCTGCCACTAACAAGGATGAGTTTTGTCCCTTACTCTTTTCCCACCTAATTGTGACTGCACAGTCATATTCTCTCCTTTGCACCTGAACCCGTTCTTGGGTAGGTTCCTTTAACTAAGCCAGCAGAAATCAAAATGAGAAAGTAAGTGAAATTTTCTGCCACACCCGTCAGGAAGGAGAGAAGGGAGGGTAAGCAGAAACTATCCCTTTAGAAAAAACACAAATCTGATGAAAAGCTACCTGCTGTTTTGTCTCATCACACCCTGAACTCACAAGTTCAGCCCAGACACAGGTGAGGGTCCTGAGCAATCCCTTCACAGCACTGTTTGCTCTGGGAAGGCATTTTTGCAGATAAAAAAAGTGATTAAAAGCAGAAAAAACCCAGAGCTGACAGGAGCTTCCTAAAGAACAACTATCACGTAATATATACCACTGCACTAAGAGTTATATTGAAGATGGCAGGTTTCCCACAGCAGAGAGGCATCAGATTATAAAAATAAATAATGAAATAGAGTTGCAGAGCAGCAGATCAGCTGGATGTGGGTGCCTCTGGAGAGGGACCCTGAACAAAGAAATCCCCAGGCAATTACACAACTTACGCACCAGCCCCTCAGGCGCGTAGTCTGCGCCTCTTGGCCTCTTTGGTCTGGGGTCTTCCTCCTCTATGTCCACGTCCATGTCCACGTCCATGCAGGCAGGCTGTTCAACCCCTGTGGAACTGCAGCTTTTGCTGGTGGTTGCTGTCTCCTGATCTTCTGGTGTGAGCTTCTGGCGCTCACCAGCAGAGCACATATAACTAAAACAGCCCTTGACTCAAGGTAGTCAGCACTGAGCAACAACTAAAACATCGGTGTGTTATCAGTGTTCTAAACGCACCAAAGACAAAACACAGCTCTGTATCAGCTGGTAGGAGGATTACCAAGAAAACGAACTCCATTCCAGAAAAACATCTCAAGGTGTGAAGTTCACAGCTTGCTGTGAACTCTGAGGTTGAAGGCTCCATCAAGTCCAGCTACTCAGGCCAAGCAAACAACAAACTAAATCATACAGTATTATATTTTAACAGTTTTATATATTAACAGTTAGAATGTTCCTCATTCTAGTTACAGCTTATTTAAGCTGAACAAAGAATATCTCTCAACAGCC